TAAAGTAAATATTTGGTTTCTGTTCCAAAATTATTTATAAAGCATGCTATGAATAAAAGCATTCTTGTTGTGATTTGGAAATTATTAAATCTAAATTTTTAAGATCTAATGCTGACACTTCAGATAGACATATGGCTGGTCTTCCTTATGCCACTTCTTTTCTGGAATACCTAAATGTATAATATATACATAAAAATATTTGTGGCATATACATAGGAATAGACATATATGTATATAGAGATACATAGAAATACGTAAATGTGTATATATACAAATAATGATTTAAGGAAAACAAACCAAAATTTTGTGAACCTCTCTTAGTTTGACTTTTTAAAGTAGTGAAACCATGTTTTTTTCTGTGGTTTTAATGTCACACATGTAAACAATTAAAAAAAATTGTGAAATAATATTGGTGCTTAATTCTTATACTGCACTTTTTATCAAAGGGATTTCTGTAAGTTAAAGTTCTTGTCAATTAGTAATAAAATACGCTGTAGATAAAAGCATGCTAAAAATAAATTTGGAGCAGATAAAGAGCAAGGAGCAGCATTTCATTTGTAAGCCTTTTTGTTGTATAATATATTGGAATATTTGTCTATGTTTTAGATAAATATTTTGACTTTCAAAAAATTTAATTATTATTGATTACTGTAGTTTCAGAGGAAGTATTGCTTGCCCCCCAGAGAGCAGAAATTTTAATATGTTATTGATAAATATGTCTTCATCCACAATTAATAAGGATAAGTTAGGGTGATAGTCCATCAGAAGTCCACTATGAAAATGAGAGTGTCTGTGAATGTAGCTATCAAACAGTTGTATCTTGGTGGTTGATATAGTGGGTTATATTCTTTTCTGCTCAATCATGTTAATTAATAGAAAACTCATTTCTTTTATCAGGATGTATAGTTATTAACAGGTGTTCATTTGTTTAAATATCCACAGATTATTAACTGGTTTAGTTAGGAGATAAACCATGTTGTAACAACAGGCTGCTATGATACATTAAAATACAATTGCTCATGTAAAGTAAGGAGCTTACGTAGCTTTAATTCCATGAGTGCTTTTAAGAGTAATTTCCTAATCACAAAAACATTGAAGATGGCTATCTTCACCTTATTCTTGGCATGAAGAGTTCAGAGAGTAATAATTTTAAAACTGTGCAAAACTGATTATGAAGGCATTTCCACTAAATAAAATTCCAAAATATACAGAGGAGAAGAGTCCCAGTGTTGGTCACTGTTGTGCGTTTGGGATGTGGGTTCTTGTGGGAGCACAAGAAATAGACCTTTTGAGTAATTTCTGTTGACATCAAAACAGAATAATTAGTTCTACATTAATTACATAATGCCCACAAAAATATTTGGCTATTCCTAAACTTCTGCAAGGTATGTGCAATAACCTCATCAGGTTTTATCACTATTAAAAACGGCTCGTATCTTCCCTCTCATTCACTGAGAAAGGCTCCTGTTGAATCAGATGTCACAGCAGCCACAATGAATGTGAGAAAGTCTTTATGAAAGGTACACTTTCCTCTTCTTTTGACCTCGAACACACATGCTGGTTTTTTAATAAGACAACCAAAGTTGGAGATAATATTTTTGATTAAGAGTTAGATGGTGAGTAGGAAAGTGACCGGTAGAGCTAATCTGATGTAAGGCCTGAAAAAAATAGAAGTATGTGACTTGGAGATGGAGACAAGAGAGGATTGGAATGGGGGATTAAAGAAGGAAACAGCAGTGGTTAGCATGTTCAGGGGTTTTAAGTAGTATGCAGAAATTTTGTCAAATGTTCTTACTGGCAAATACTCATTAACTGCAAAGATTTTTTTATTATAAAGAAATGAATAGCTTTAGTGAACATGTAGGGATGTTCCAATTAAAAAGGAAAAAAAGCAATTTTTTAAAAGATTTATGAGAATTTGTGTGATACAGTATCAGTCAAGTATGTCAGCATGTCAATCTTTATTTTATAGCATTTCAGGATACTGTGGTCTTACTGATATGCATGAAAACATGAAATATTTTGTCCAGTATTCATCAAGGTTTACATAAATAGGATGTTATTTTCTCTTGCAGTATACCAAGATGTGCACTATAAAACCAGTGTTCGCAAACTGTATTATGTTTTTATCTGGATCTTTTATACCTGGGGACATATTCCTTATTTGTATTAAAGTAGTGTCTGTTAGTCCCACTGGGGCTAGATGGTAAGTAAGGCTCAAAGCATGGGAGAATCCAAGTCTGAAGAGCTTATAGGCTAAACGGGCTGGGCGAGACGGGGTGAGAGGCACAGGCAGGGGAGACAGAGGTCCAGCCAACGCTCGCCCGCAGCGCCGGTGAGACAGAACCTGGCTCCTTTGACTCTTATCTACTGCAACATGTTTCGTGTCGTGTCTTAAACTGTAGACAGTTCAAAATCTTGTGCATTTGTAGAACAGTCAGTGTGAAGTTAACACGTTTGTCAAAAATTAGTGTGTGATAGCAAGAACTAGCTTTAGTTCTTCTCCCTGAATGAAAAAGAGGACAAAGAACCTGAGGAATAAATGAGTGCAAACCCTTCTGCTGGTTCTCAGATCTGTCCACGTTTGCCCAGGAAAACAGCCCTGGGGCGTTTTGCAGATTTAGAAGTAAGGGCAGGGCTTGTCCCATTACATGGTATTTAGAGAAATGGCATGTTTTGCTTTACAATTTGCATGTGCAAAAATAAAAAAAATTCTAAATAGCAGTTCCTAGAGCAATTCTTCAGGTGTGTTATGTGCATACGTGACCTTTTGAAACAGTCACTGCACGTTGTAGTAGAGGGTAGTACAATGGACCAAGTAAGTGTTGAGTTACTCTTGGTTTGAAAATGATAACTTTGGATAAGATATTCATATAATAACCTTTGTATTATACCAGTTACCTGTCAGACCACATTTCTGACCTTAAGCACCCAGGAAACTAAAACTTCTCCAGTGCAAAATTTCTTATTCCACGAAGCCTTCCACTTGACAACTTTGTCTGAGATCACTCTAAGCCAGTTGGCCCTAGCTTAAATATTCATCAGACTTCTGATAATTGTGATAACCCTTATAGGCTGGCAAGCATGGCAAATTAGCAAAAAAATGATTGATCTTTTTTTATATGCAGTTTTATCTCCAACCTTTCCTGGCTATATGTTATACTATAGTAATAATTTCTTCTCTAAGGTATTTGCCGGTATCTGGATTTGCACATCTATTTACAGTTGCCTTGAAGCCTCATAATTACAATACAGCTGAAATGTCCATTTTCTTTCCCTGACTACAAATAGGGATCAATCGAATTTTAAATGACTGCTTACGGGCTAGCTTCCGATCATGACCTTTGTAAATGATTAGAGCTCACCACTGTTGCTATCTACCTTGAAAGGGTAAGCGGGCAGGTCTGTCTAACTGGCATTTAATCTGGAAGAGAGCCAAAGATAGTTGAGCTAAAAACCTAATATGAGTTGGCAAAGGGAAGTATGTACAGACCTTTGCACTATTATTTAGCTATTTTTCCACATTTAGTTTTTGTATTTAGGAAATTTGTTTATCCTGTAGATTAGAGAGTTATATGTTTGTGTATAGTTTTATGCTGAAGTTATGATAATTTAAGTTGTAAAACTATTTAGCATAAAAATGTGAAAAAGCAAAATTTCAAGCTTAAGTGTACTGAATTTGCTTTTTCTGAAGAAGGTGAAAATATGCATCGAGGTGCTAAATAAATATAAAGCCAAAAATGCAGTAAATAAGATGCATGAAGCAGACCTGCTTTTTTCTAAGTGGAAATGATTGGAGAAAAGATACAGTAGCATCTACTTTTTTGCTTAAACCTCTGTTCTTTTAACATCAACCAGCTAGTTCAGGCTCCACCTGTATATGCAGCTCACATTTAAGTAATGGCTGACACACTTCTACTTACACTTGTTAGTTCAGTTTTATTTTAATGAAGAATTGTGTGCTTGTGACAGTACAATGTTTTTTATTACTGCTGCTAAATTTCTGAGTAGTGGTTTGTGCATTTCTGTTGAAGTGGGAACTCCAAGTACAATATCAGTGAGAGGTTAGAAAGCAAACACCTCCTCTGAATTTACTGAAGGATTTTGCAAACCTAAAGTTTTCAAAGTAATAAGAAATATTACTAAGAAATATGGATTTTTTTTAAATCTAATTAAAATCATATGCTGCATTACCCAATTGATTATTTTTGTGCAGTATTGATGACTAGAATCATTATTAAAGTAGTATTGTTTGAGGAACATGTCTCTTAACATTAATTCTCTGAAAGAACTACATAGTTTGTAATGAATAAACCAATCTTAACTGTTCATCACATGGCCAAAATATTTGCTCTTATTTTCTGTAGCATGCTACCCTGCTACATAATGCAACTGGCAGGTGGTTTTCTTTGCGTCAAACTGATGAAATCTTTTGCTATCTAAATCCTAATCCCATAAAGTGGTTGGAAATTCAGTTTTTAGGGGGGTTGTGGCAACATTACCATCATATGCTAATGTTATAGGTGTCAAGATATAGGTGCTTAATTATTTTTTATGATTTTCCAAAAGCAAATATCAAATACAGTTGAATATTCAGAATAAACGTGAGAATCTGAGATGAAAGAAAATCTTTAAAGTATTGTATTTTTTGAGGATTTTAATTGGTACTTACGCTCTTCATAACGATCTTAAACTGAAGGTGTATAGCTAGTATCTAGTATTCAGTGGCTATAGCAGTTTTCAAGGGAAAAGACTGAGTTTTTAAAAACAGCTGAGTTATGTGGAAGTGGAAATTCTATGAGAAGCCAAGGGAACTTGTACAACTTTATTCTACTGTAGGGCTGCGTGCTGGAGCTGCTAAAATTTTATTTCTAGGGTTCACATAACACTGTTAGGGATGGCACATGTGCAGCTTTTACCTCGTGCTCACAAGTTAGAGAGTAATTTTTTGAAATGGCAACAGAATAAAAGCTAAACAGAGATCTTTCTCTCTCTAATAGATGCAGCAACAAGAACTTGCACAAATGAGGCAGAGGGATGCCAATCTAACTGCACTGGCAGCTATTGGTCCCCGGAAAAAACGGAAGCTTGATTCACCTGGACTGCTTACCATAGGAGGAGAGGTATGTGTCTATACATGCAATAAGATAATTGATTTTTTTCAAAATCCAGTAGTTATAGCTAGAGATGCTGTGAGCTGGTTTTTTCCAGTGAACTGTGTAACCTGGAAAAGGTTGCACGAACTACTGAATTAGAAGGAATATGAGTCTGGCTTGTTTTATTTTGCCACAGTTAAAATAACATCTCCTCCTAGTTGTATTTTCAAGTGTTATCTTTCAATGGAAGTTTGAAGAATTATTTTAAAACAAAAGAGGAGGATATGAAGAAATATCTGGAAAAATGTAACTGTAATGTTGCTTAAATTTGGACTGAGAGCTTGGGTTAATATCAGTGACTGTGTGTTTGTGACAGATATGTGACAAATCTTTTTACAGAACGCCTAACTAGTGCCCCATACCACTGCAAAGATGAGTTCTTAATCATGCTTAATTGTATATAATTTTAAAGCAAATACTGTGCTGCAGAAGTGGAATCAGAATTGTTAGGATGACTCTCATGTTATTTTAGAGGGAGAAGTAGCTACAATACACAGTGCAATGCAGTATACAGAAAAAGTAGGATATATTAGCCAAAGCGGAAGACTATGGTAGTGCAGTTGCATTAGCTTGGAGAATTCTTTGTAGAGTACGGATACACTTGGGCTTCTATTTCTGCTAAATCTGCCTACATGGTAGTAGTCAAAGTAATTCTACCTGTCATATACTATTCTGAGGAAAATGCAAACATTTCATTTTGAATAACTAACAATTTTGACTCAGAAATATGACTAAGTGCAAAGCATTTCTAAAGGCCTTTTTGTTTCCCATTTTAGGTAGCTTTTACCTGAGTTCTCTCCCTCTTTTCATATGCTGAGGTTAGTGCTAAGGAATTAACTGAGCCAGGAATAGAAAGAAATACCTCTTGTTTGTATTCTGAAGTAGACTTATAACTTCAGATACATAGGGAGTACCCTCGTTTTCCAGTAAGTCTGTGCTTCAAGCTAAGGAAGCTTCCTGCTTTTTGTGCCCTCTTGTTATATTCTTTCCCTTTCAGTCTCTCTCCTTGTCTTCTGTTCAGGTATCTGACTTCCACAGGGGGTCTATTACCCTCCAATTTCTTTCTCTAAGAAATTTCAAAATTTCAAAATTTCTGAAGTCCCTGCTGCAGCTGATCTCTGTTAGCAAGTTCCAGCTTGGCAAGAGCTTTCTTGGCCTTCCCTCTTTTGTCAAAAGCCTTCTAGTTTGTGTCATTCAAGTGGCCCGTCTCCTAATTAATCTTTTTTGACACGTATGGCTGTTTATGTTGCAACTGGGACACTGCATGTTTGCTGGTCCAAAGAGATACCACTTACAAATTGGCCCATCCCCCCATCTTTCAGATGTTACCTTTTTTTTCCTTTTCTGAACTAGCTCTTGTTGGATCATTTTGGCCATTTTTTCCATGAGAAGTGTTGGATTTCAGTCCAGCTTCTTGGTTCAACTGAAATACTAGCTCACAATTTCTCTTTGGAAATTGGATCTTTTTAATAATACCCTTTTGATCTTAGCAGCTGGTTTATTTGGGAAGTATTAATGCTTATTTTGCTTAAGAGAAAAGGTTGATGGAAAAGATGGGTATTTCAGTGATCAAGTATTGTTTGTTGCATACAGAGAAACAGTTTTTTACAGTCTTTATAAAGTGGGAAGAAATTTGTGCTCTTAATTGCAAATATTTTTCAACCAGCACTTTATTCAAGTGTGTTTTCTTCAAACTTACTGTCAGTGTCACATTACCAGGGTTCATTTGGGCTTCATTGTTTCTTTTCAGGCCATAGCTAAATAGACTTTTTTCTAGTGGCAGGATTAGCTTAAGTTATCAAGGCCATGCCCATAAGCTGCTGCTTCTGTACGAGTATAACTGTTTTTCTGGATTACTTTTACCTGGAGAGATGGAAAATGATTGGTTTGGGGGAAGAAGTTATTTTTCAGTTGTATAGCTTCTTTGATTTACTTTCCCATGCAGCTGTATAATATATTGGTTTCCAAAAAATGGTTTAAAAAAAAAAAGAATTTAGAGAGATGTCGGTGAACAGGGATAAGATGTCCTCAAATAACACTAGCACCAAATGCATAACCACAGTTTGAGACTGTGGTTACACAGTAGCCTTGGCTAATCTAACCGTGATCTCCACCCTAATCCCTAGTAGTGCCTTCCTACCCCTTGCCTTTCATTGGCTCTGGGTCTTGCTGAACCTTTCCATGTGATAAATGGGCAAAAACCTACCCTAACAAGAGTAAAAAGTGAATAGTTTCTGCTTAGCTTGCTGAAGTAGTTTGGCTCTGAGCCCAGTGAACACTGGAAAAGGAACATAGGACCAACAAGGCAAAACCAGCTAACTTGAGATCACCTGCCCTTCGTTCGCTTTCTTTTTAGTACCTTTCTTGTCTTCTCGTATTTTATATTATCTGTTAGAAACAGCTTCCTCTGTAGCAGCCAGCAGCTCATCAGTAATTCAGCCTACTTATTATTATAATGCAGGTTAGATCAAGAGCAAAAGAGAAGGAATAAAGAGAATGAGATAACCTTTGGAAGAATTCAGTTTTCCTGTCTCTCAGAGTTGAATGTACAGCATTTATATAATAAATTTTGTGCTGTTCTTTATTTATGTAATGATACTAGGCAAAATTATATGAATACATTTTTAAATGGTATTCTAAAGAGTTTTAATTTATATTTATATTGCTTTTTGGAATTTACTGCATTGTTGTCAAGTTAGGCACCTGACAATCATGAACCAGGTTATTCATTTAGCAGCAGTACTGTCTAATTGTTATTTACTCTGTGGGCCTTGTTAATGCTTATGTTGGTACAGGGCAGTAGATGGCAGAGGCAGAAAAGGGAAGACACGACCTGCTTAAGCTCTTTAGTTAGTATCCTTAAGCACCTCCAAAGCCTGATTAAAAATAATAAATTTTGAGTTGCTTTTATTTATTTTCTGGATTTTGAATCCTGTTGGTTAACATTTTCAAACTTTTTCCTTGAATTGTAAAGCTTTTAATAATTAGGATTAAAAATTTGCTTTCCTTTATGAGGTAGATATACTCATGTAATTGTGAGAGTTAAGGCTTTAACAAAAACTTGAACCATCACAAGACTGTAAGCCTGGCAGCCTTACTTCTATGAAATGGATCGGAGAGGTGGTAAGGTTGCATGAGTGCGATATTTGCACATTCCAAGTCCCTCATTTTTGGCTATGGCATAAAAGTGCAGAGGTTAAGTGCAAGTATTTTTCTGTATTTAAGAATAATATTAACTAAATAATTTGGCTTTTCATCAAGACCTATGGCTAGTATCCCAAAATATATAAATATAAAGTGTATGTTTGAAATATCTGAGGGTATAATTTGTTTAAATAGCAAGTGAAAGCCCTCTCCTGGTACTTGCTGGCACAGATGGTTTTTGAATACTGAGCTTCCAAAGGCAGCTTCAGGGCTAGTTCAGTGAATCACTGCTTATTGAAGACAGTCATTTCAGGGGTAAGAAAAAAACCTCTTTCTCACATAGTAGAAGAGCAGTCATCTTAAGAATAGCCAGTAAGCTGTCTAGAACTCCATCTTCCATGTGCTGGGCCAGTGCTCAAATGAGATCTCCTATGTTTTTTTCCTTTCATGACTAGTGTAAGGGAACCATTATACCATCTAAGATAATGTAATCTTACAGACCTGGAAAGTCCCAACACAACTACAGTTAAAACAGTGACATTTTGTGTAGAGAAAAATTAATTGTTACAAGGCCTTTATTTAAAAGTGTACTTCAGAATCATTCAGCAGCCACAGTTGCTAGTTAAAGTGATTATGAAACGTATTTCTGGCACAAGCTGCCACGTTTTTGTTTAAGTTCAGCTTTCAAATGTTATCATTTAGAGCGTTTTTGAGCAGTTTTCATTAAGGTTTTGTTGAAAATATGATTAAGATTTTGTTCAGAGAAATCTGAGTTATACCAGAGACTTCCAAATACAAACATAGACAAAGTTGCTTAATATTCCTGTCTCTCAGATCTTTATACCGAGAGTAATTCCTTGTTTCTAAGTGGAAATGTAAGCATAAATTCATGATTATTTGGGAGGCACTTAGGTACTATGACATAGTTGAAAAAAGTTCTTTTGACTACAGTCTCTTTTTAGTCCTCCAGGATTGAACGTGATAAATTTGTTTGTACACGTTACAGCCAGAGCTTTCACTTCATGCACGAGTTATTGTCCATAGCCATTTCCACAACCCACCCAGTTATTCTGTAATAACCTGCAATAGCCCAAATCTGTTATTAATATTCTGTCCAAAAGAAATCTAGATGCTAGGTAATTTTCTGTTTGGAATGGATCAGACATGATAAAGAAGTATAGCTGAGCTGTGGAAAACATGATCCTGTTTCCTTGCAGCTTCTACAACTCGGGTCTTGGCTTTGTCTTCATAGCTGTACAGTTGGCTCTTGGTAAATTAGTGTTTGCTTGAAGTCATCCAGACATGTTTAGAAAGCATTTGAATCTAAGGATCCTTTATGCTGGATAACCTTGAGTTATATGAAAGCAGATACAATAGACCATAAGATCTTTTTAAGTGTTTATGGTCCAAGAAGTTAAAGCTTACTTTTCATGCTTTTAAACCCACGGACTGATGGCAGAACAGAAGGAATTTTTATGATTTACTGTATCACCGCCTATTTAAGCACTCTTTGCTCCACGTATCACTGACATAAGTGCATGCCGCAGTTGTATCTGAGACCTGTGTTGGTGTAGGATGTCTCCGCTGCTGATTTTTATGCTTACCCTTTAAGTATCCCGAAACTAGCAGTTAAATGTTTGGGCTAGAATCTTCAAAGAGACAGAAGGAAGTTAAAGAGTCTATCCTTACCATTTTTTACAAGAATTACATGCTTACCTCCTTATGAATCTTTGAAAATCTCAAGTTTAGATGTGGCATCTCTGGTTTGTTTTGCTTCCTGTTTTCAAAAGGTATAAATAAATAAATGTTAAAATCATCCAGTA